CAGCCGCTGTTGAAACTGATCAGTTTCAGCAGCGGCTGAATCTGGACGCCAGTTCCGACTTACATACAGATTCAACTTAAGAACAAACCTACAGTCCCTATCTTGTACGTAACCCGGGGACTGCCTGTATATACACAAGTCTGGGAATAATACCCATTAGGGGGGATACTATATTTTCCATTCCATATTAGAGATATATAGGAATCTGTTCCTAACTGATCAGTTTCAGCAGCGGCTGAATCTGGACGCCAGTTCCGACTTACATACAGATTCAACTTAAGAACAAACCTACAGTCCCTATCTTGTACGTAACCCGGGGACTGCCTGTATATACACAAGTCTGGGAATAATACCCATTAGGGGGGATACTATATTTTCCATTCCATATTAGAGATATATAGGAATCTGTTCCTATATTCAACCAATCTGCTTTAGAACAAGAGCTTCTATACTGTCTCCACCACATTCCTTATAGTTAGTGTCCAGCTGCTCTGGGAAGCTTTTAAAGAGGTTCTTGGCCCTACTACAGGGGAAATGGAAACCAGGAATTAGTCAGTTTGTGTCTAGTCAGATCTGCCATGGCAAAGCTGAGCTTTGGCTCTCTCTAGTGGCAGGAAGCTTGCCACTCCTCTATATGAATTTAATCAAAGCGCAATAAGGAGAGAAGAAAGTACAAGGACCTAAGCAAAGCAAAAATCAGGAGATGCTGACATATTAGTCTACAGTCTTCCTAAGTAAGCTTAGTTATTGATACTGAAAGAAAATATTTGATCCCACAGCTGATGTCAAACGTGCCCAAAGGCTACAAAAGTAGCAAAGGCATACTACAGTATTGAAATACTCATTACATTTTGAATAGGACCCGATTCAGAAAACTTTTGCTCCACATCCTTATCCAATAGATCGTAATAAACGAGACTTCAAATGAGAGTCAAGGCTACTGAAGCAAAGATTTGCAGGATTGTGTAGCTTTCATGGCTCATTTTAAAATGCAGTGTATTGCTGTAACTCAGTAAAACAGTAACATGTGAATTATAAATTAACAGTTCATAATCCCCTCCCCCCCCTTTTTTTTCCCTCCCCCTCTCTTGACATCAAGTATCCCTTTCAGGACAATAGTGGTGAGTCTGTTGTCTCATCAAGTGCTGCTCCAAAATTTGTATGATATCTTGTTGGAAGAGTTTGTGAAGGGCCCCTCTCACATAGATGACAAGACAATACAAGTGCCAGAAAACAAACTGGCTGGCTTCCTCAGGTACATTTCCATGCAGAATTTGGCTGTCATCTTTGACTTACTGCTGGATTCCTATCGGACAGCCAGAGAGTTTGACACACGGCCTGGGTTGAAGTGCTTGCTGAAAAAAGTGTCTGGCATTAGTGGAGCTGCCAACTTGTATCGCCAGTCAGCAATGAGCTTTAACATTTACTTCCATGCCTTGGTCTGTGCTATACTGACAAACCAGGAGAACATGACTGCAGAGCAGGTGAAGAAGATCCTGTTTGAGGATGACGAAAGAAGCACAGACTCTTCCCAGCAATGCTCTTCAGAAGATGAAGACATTTTTGAGGAAACTGCCCAAGTCAGCCCCCCAAGAGGGAAGGAAAAGAGACAATGGAGAGCTAGAATACCATCTTTGAGTGTTCAGCCGGTGAGCAATGCAGACTGGGCTTGGTTAATCAAAAGGCTTCACAAGCTATGCATGGAACTCTGTAACAACTACATCCAAATGCATCTGGACTTGGAGAATACTGTGGAGGAACCTCCAGTTTTCAAAGGGGACCCTTTTTTCATCCTACCATCCTTTCAATCTGAAACCTCCACCCCATCAACCGGAGGGCTGTCTGGAAAAGATACACCTTCAGAAGATGACAGAAGTCAAATTAGGGACCACTTAGACAATCTGACTCCCAGGGGAGGGACTGGAGAAATGCTGGTACTCCCACCATTGAGCCCTAAAATAGAGAAAAAAGACCAAGCCAGGAAAAAAGAATGGTGGGAGAGTGCTGGCAACAAAATCTACACAATAGCCACTGATAAAACTATCTCCAAACTCATGACAGAGTATAAGAAAAGGAAGCAGCAGCAAAGCTTGACTTCTTTCACCAAAGATGTCAAAGTGGAAAAGAAGGGAGAGTTCCTGGGCTCGAGGGGGCAGGATTCACCACTCCCCCAGCGACCGCAGCATCTGGTGGACCAGGGCCAAATGAGGCATTCCTTCAGTGCTGGCCCAGAGATCTTGAGGCAAGAGAAGCGACCACGCTCAGGATCTACAGTCAGCTCCCTGAACATATCTGTGCGAGATGCAGAGGCACAAATCCAGGTAAGTTACATTGGCAGATTATGGCAGAATACCACCAAAAGGGGTAGAAACGACTAAACCAAAATGTCTAGGAGTATCCCTACAAACTAGGATTGATGTGTTCCTACATCATGATCAGATCAGAGAAAGAGTATTCGGTGGCACAATAGTCAGAGACTTCAGTGAAATTGGAATGGGAGCTATTTGGTAAAATTTTGTGAAGCGCTTAAGTGACTTGCAAGCTTATGTCCCATTTTCAAAAGTAATGTAGCTAATTAGTAGCCTTTGTTGAAAATGAAACTTAGGTTTCTAAGTCACTTAGGGTGGTACAATTCCCAGCGCAGGTAGACACATTTGCAGTGGCTCATCTTGAGGCTAATGCACTAGAACTCAGCGTCTACCTGGTTTGGAATTCACACACGCCAGCTGCAGTACAGACATAGCCTTTGGTGCTTTCGGAAATGTTGCCAGTTGTCTGACATCTGATGTTTAAGGCCTTTATTTGTGATATTGCAGAAATTGAAAATTCTACAATATTAAACTTCCACAGCAGTTTTTATTTTAATTAGCTTACTTTATACAGACCACAGCTTTGCAAACATTGAGGTTTGCAATAAATATGGGCAGTCAAACTGGTAGAAGCTGGGGCTACCATCATCAGCCCCCATGCATTAATACCTGTAATATAATTGCAGAAAAATTTTAGATAAAAAAAAAGCAGGCATAATACAATACTCAAGTGTTTTATTGTTCCAGCAACTTTTTCCTAAACGAATGGGTCTTCTCTGACTTTTCCGAATTATAGCAATTAAGAAAGATCCATTATTACTTTTCTGTAATTTTTTCATGTCTTGTCCACAACTCAGCCAAATATTTGACAGTCATCCTGCAATTCAAGTAGGGCTGTACTTCCAATGCTCTTGTAATCAAATTGCTGCTTTTGTCAATTTCAGAATAGCAATATTGAACTGGTGACTAATTACCATTTGCACCCCCTAAGTAGGGACCGACACTACAGGCACCAAACTTTGGACTTGTGGTCATTTTGTGATAGGACAGTATATACAAAGAAACAATATAATGGTGATACACTCACTGTTCAGCCTAAATACCTTATATATAAAATGGCATGAGTGGGAAACATGCTAGCATCGTTCTGGATTTTTCCTGCGGTCATAGTCTTTCTTTTACCATATAATGTGACCCAAGAGGAGACTGTTCTCTCCAGAAAGTGCAAGCAATTTCTAAAATCAATGGGATTAACTCATACACCATCTGTTGAGATTACCCTCCTGGAATGTACTTTGCTGCATCTCCAAAAAGATGAAGCCCTTTGTGTCTCCCTTTAGCACACGCACTGAGTGCCAGGGCCAAAGACACAGCTGTGCAAAAACTAGGCACCCTCAACAATCTTCCTTCATGATCTCTTGGGTCAGAAAAGACTATCATCTCTCCTCTCCTACCCCAGGACAATTAGAACCAAGTTCCAGACTCTGACAGCTGCCAGTTTTCTTCACGCAGGCTGTTTCTCAAGCTGGCTTTAGGCACCTGGTTGCACAGCTATGGAGGGCTTCCTTCCTCTCCATTACAACCTGACCCTTACCTAATGACAGTGTAGTTTGTAGAGCTCTTTAAGGCCTGGTTTACACTAGACCAGGCAGGTTAGCTTAAGGTACACGACTCCAACTAAGCAAAATGCATAGGTGGAGTTGGTTTACCTTAAGCCGAGCCATGTGGTATCCATACAGCGGGTGGCTTTGCCGAACAAGGAGTACTGAACACCAATAGGAGTGCCCTCGGCATTTGATTTAGAGGTCTGTATTAGACCCACTAATGGAATGCTAGAAGATTGACCTCCGGGACATCGATCTTCTTGCGAGTATAGACATGCCTTATGAGTCTTTCAGTGAAGAGAAGGTCCATTCATCTTAACCCCTTATTAAATCTCCTGTGACTGTTCCCCTTTGCAACATGTTCAGCTTAGTTTGAGTTGAAAGGAGAAAAAGGTCCTTCACAGAACCCTTTTTCTCTTTTTTGGGGGGGGGGGGGAAGGGGAGAAAGGAGGCTCCAGATTTTAACAACAACAAGGATTCTAATGGTATGAAAGGTTGGGGAAAAAAGTCTGGTTTTAAGATGTAGAGTGGGATTGAGACAAAAAGCCTGCTTCTCATGTCAGTTACATCAGTAATACCCCAATGTAACTCCTCTGACTATTACTACTACTGATTTATAATGGTGCCACAGGTAGCAAATTGATGCCCATAATATGCTAGTCCGGTGACTATTTATATGGATGTTTTCTGATTCTGTACAGCAAATTATGTTTTTCAAATTTGTTTTAGGCATGGACTAACATGGTGCTGACAGTTCTCAACCAGATTCAGACCCTGCCAGACCAAATATTCACAGCCCTCCAGCCAGCCGTGTTCCCCTGTATCAGTCAGCTCACTTGTCACGTGACCGACATCCGTGTCCGTCAGGCTGTGAGAGAATGGCTGGGAAGAGTGGGAAGGGTCTATGATATCATTGTGTAAAAGGAAATTTTCATTAACAAGAGAAGAAGGAATCCAAGGCTTTTACAGATATACAAACAATACCGTTTCTGAAAGTAACAGGGATGGAGCTACACATACATTGCCCATTGGTGGTGATAAATTCTGAAATAACAGGCTCTTCATGTCCCCTACCCACTTAAGATTGTGTGTGTCAGTCTCACACTAACAAAGGATGCTCTACAGTTCACATTAAGTAGCATGAAATGAAACCAAGTGATGAATCTGAAAATTGTTAGTAAATCAGGCTGATATATAATGGCTCAGTAAATGTCATATTAGGTATTTTCATCTGTGAACGGTAGGACTGTGTATGAATGCTTCTGAAGTGAGGAAAAAATAGATGGAGAAGAACATCTGTGTGGATGGAGTTGAGGTGAAAGCAACTGTATTCACTAAATGGATCTCACGTGACTCTTTAATTCCCAAGATTTAGGACCAAAATTATCAGACTGGTCTTACATGGCCTCCATTTTTTGAACCTGTAATATTATGGACCCCAGTAATTGAAGGTTCAGAGGATTCAATAATTGGTGGATAGAGATGGCACTTTAAGTACAAGAGTTGATTGTTGTGCTTGAAAGCCCAGTTTGTAGACAATTGGATCACCTAAGTCACACATTTAGATAACGGAATAACTGTGAGGAAAAAGGTAAGGGTACAAAAAGGGAAGCCAGAGGGAAGTGGTTGGTTGGTTGCTAGTGGTACTCTTTATATTTTCCATTTGAAACCAAAACACAGATCTGGGAAAACAGACACCCTAAGGATTCTTACATATCCAAACGTAGTACTGCCCTCGCTGCTTAGTAGTCATTAAAATTTTAAGCCTGGGGCTGTGTGTGGCTGCTTTTCATTGTACCTTAGGAAGATCCCTGCTGTAAACCAGACAAAGGAAAAAGTCAGCTCTGCGTAAGAGAGGCTACTGTAGCACAGCCTTGGGATAGTGGGCACTTTTTTCTGCTAACATATTTGGTATGGCTTGAAGAAAGGTGGAATTGCCAGGTCTCCTCTCCAACCTACTATCAGCCACACATACAGCACAATCCTCTCCACCAATCCACAGTGCAGACACTATTCCATTCATTCCACATCCGTTACTCCCACTGAGGTCAGTGGTAGTTCTGTGAAGAATATGCACTAGTGAGTTAAATTACAATCTGCAAAACAGAATTGAGGCAAACCCTCGCATTCAATCACACATGATGGGAATACTATACGATATACATCAGCGCCTTATACATAGAATTGGCTTGCATGTTGTCACATAAGAAGGTAGTCTCATGTGTGCACCCTGTTTGCTGTAGCTCTGTGGATCCCCGTCATTTGCAGCTATATATACACACATCCCTCTTTCCCCACCTGTACCACTTGTTCACAGGAGTCAAATTGGAAAAGAGCTGGCAGTGTTACCCTCAGCTGGTCAGAAAAGGTGCCTCAGACTGAGTTCCCTGCACCCTCAGCTTGAGCAGAGTTCACCAGTGTATAGTTTCTGCCTTTACTGGTGTACAACAATGCAAATGCTCCTCATTTCAAAAAAAATGAACCTCAGCCAGCAAGAACATGTTGATTCTGCAAGGAACCCCATTGGAGTGGCACACCTTTTAAATATAGCACAAGGTTCTCCTGTGCTGATTTTACAGGATCGGGGTCTACGTTTCTGATAAACTCTTAGTACTTTGGAATAATTTCATGAATAATTTGTGTAGAAAGCTTGATGAGGCACGATGAACTCCAGCAAAAAAAGCAAACGCATGCTAATTCTCCATTATGCTACGGCTCAGATAGGTTTACAGAGGGAAGAAATGGCCCCCTGATGGTAGCCCCTCTCTAACCACTGTAGAGGTAATACAAGAGCTCTCCCCATATCTTCCTCCCAGTCATCTAGTGTGCGGGGCAGGATCAGGGACATGTCTGGATTGCACAATGCTATGGCCAGTTCCTGCTTCACATGTCCTGATTGAAGGAATAGAGTGTAAGTTACACACCAGGGGTCCGGCGCACAGCTGTAAAACCTAAAATGTGGGGCATACAAAGGTGGATTAAAGCTACTGTTGTCCTCCCTCTCCCGCCATCCATGTAACAGAGGGCTGGTCCACATGGTAAGTTAGATTCACACCCTCTGCACTACAACCCACACCAACTTGCTATACTGCCTGTGTTTTTTCCTATCTGCTTGCAAGCCAAGGTGTCATGCTACAGTATTCTCTGCTTACTTAATCACACAATTTGCTGGACAAAAATATATTTACAAAAAATGTATTCTCTGCTTACTTAATCACACAATTTACTGGACAAGGTAACTATCTTTTCTTATATTTACAAAAAAACCCTCTCTCATCCACCTTGTGTCTCTAATATCATGGGCCCAATACAGCTGCAAAACTGCACCCCATAGTGATTAAATAGTCTGTCCTGAACTAGGGCTTTTGTTCCAAAATTAAAGCCAAGTGACATCAGAAGCTTTACATGCATGCTTCAGCTGATTTTTTTTTAATTAGCATAAACAATACATACTATTGTAAAGATTAGAGAAATTCTATTGCTTTAGACAATGAAATTTACACACAGTAGATTCACTGTGTCATGTATTGATATAGCTCTAGAATGGACGAAAAACATTTTTAAAATAGTAAAATGTGACTGTAAAACTTAAGCAATCAGCTGATGTATGAGGAGCACCTCAGATTCCCAGAAATTACTCTAACTCTAGTCAGTTTAAAAAAAAACAAAACAAAACACACCACACAAAAATAATTTGGGGAAAAGCTTAAAGAAACAATTGTAGAAAATGCAAGGTCTTGGCTTTTAGAAAGAACTGCATACTAGTCAGGTAGTAATAGTAAAACTGATGTTGCCTACCGATGTGTATGGGTACACATTCTTTTGTGGAGCAGACACGGTTTGATTTCCACTTAAATGAAAGTATCCTCTTTCACACGTGAGTCCTACAGAAAACACCAAAGTTTATATTTCAAGCTGTGCTAGGATAATAGCACGAGGCGGTGATATTACTAGTTTAATTGGCGCATTCATAACAGCCTTTAAAATCAGCCTGGTTTATAATTCTTTACAGACAGATTCAGTACTTTGTAGCTCTGGTTAAAAACTGGATACTTTACCTGACTTGCTTCTGTGTTTATTTCTATTTTTTTGTGTCACACATTTGTGTGTGTTTGTTTTTAATTGGAAAGAAGACAATGAATGTACAAGTTCTGCCAGCTTCTGCACCTTTGTAAATAATATGCAGTAAATTATGAAAAGTTTTCTCCATTTTGTCAGTGAAAGAAACTGCTCCTGTGCTCTAATGAGATGCCATGAAACTGTTTTGTTCTTTTTCCTGTTTTGAAGGTGATTTTAAATTTAAATATGCAGTGCTTTTATAAGGCTGTCCTGTCAAGTTGAACTTTAAGGGAACATTTTTCAAGTGTTGCATGGTGGTCCTGGGTATTGTTTGTTAATGAGATTTTGTGTGTAGAACCTCTTCATATTGTTTAAAATATACCCGCTGTGGTTTTTGTTGAAACAACTGCTAAAAGCTCAGAGCCCCTCCTCAGATTTTCTGCTCCTTCAGCAAAACAAATTGAAGATTCCAGATTCAGCTTTGAAACTCATGAGCTGTGCACATAGATCCAAAATGAAGAAAAATAGCCTACAGTAGAGAATTGTACCACTGCCACCTGTACTGATGCAGTGCATTCACCAGAGTTAAGCCGTTTCATATGCAGCATGCCCCCACTGCATGCTTTACCATTCATCATGAGTTCTCTTTTGATTAAAAAAAGAGGCACAACTCCTGGTGGGTTCACAGGAGAGGAACCCTAACGAGATGTGGCCCTTGATGCACACCTCCTTTAAGCATGCAAGAGATAAGGCCAGTACTATGCGCTTCTTGAGATTTGTATCTCCTTGCAGCACTTAGGACACAGTTCTGCACTACTGAAGTCTGAATGAATCAAGATCAAACCCTTATCTGGCTTACCTTTTCAGGTTCTCAGGAGGTTGCAAGGCATCTCAAAGACCTTTTGGAGGTATACAGGCCCTCGTTCTAGAGCAGCTCATGAAATTTGAGGATTCCCCCACTCCAGTTTTCAGAAACACTTTGGATTTTAAAGAAATGAATACTGACATTCACTTTAAAAAAAAAAAAAAACCTAGCAATTGCAAAAGAGGTCAAGATTACATAAAATCAAACATTGCACTTGTATGCCATGTTATGTAAACAGTATCACTGTGCTGCAAAGGATGCATTTTCCCCCACACCTTCCACATTCCTTAAAAGCTCATGAGGCTACTACTCATAGGATTTCTTTAGCAACCATTACTGGCAATACTCCAGTCCCAGTTGCATAAATGTGTTGATCAGATCGCTGACGACGACGCCTGACAGGCTCACTCCAATTTAGTGTAATTAATGCCTCAACTTGGAACACACACACTCCACCAGACCCATTCCTCACCACAGTGTCCTAATGTACCAGACGAACAGGCAAGCGCTTTGGCCCAAAGTGGTTTTGCTTTGGCCATAAAAAGACAAATAAAGGAGTGCTGCAAAGTTCTCCTTTTGTAATGACTGTGTAAAATAAATATGTATTTATATTCAGAGGCTCAGGCTAAAAGTTTTAGGGGAGAAAAATCGACATCTTTTTGCAAGTCTCTGGCATTGCACTGGAATAAAACTAGAGCAATGCACTATCGAATCAGGGCATGGGATCATACCTCTAAGCTGCCCTTCATTTTAGACCCTTATTTGGCACACTAATTTTTGCTGTTATAAAGAACTGAGCATCAGAACCACCGAATCAGGTAATAGTTTCTTTAGCCAAAAAAAACCCCGCATCATGAAAACGTTCTTGGACTCAGACTTCCTATTCAACATTTTTTTCTCTGTCCCAAATTTGGGCTGAGCTAAGAAACCACCATCATTCAACAAACAGTGACTGAAATGAACAATAGCTGCGCTGGTAAGAGGGTGCAGGTGATTAGCTTTGAATGGTGAATGAACCAATGTGCCATAATCAAAATGGCTTTGACCACTTCTTGGAGCCTAGCTGCGTGGCAAACACACGATTCTACACAGAGGCGATGAGAAGGACAGAGTGAAGGCTGCTGCAGTTCTCTGTCACTACATGAGCAGGTCCTGCACAATGAGGGGATACAGTGGGGCTACGTCTACACTGTCCCATTTTTCGGAAGGGGCATGCTAATTTTCAGCTTTGGAATAGGGAAATACTTTCAAAGTAGGAATAAGAGATCCTCCGGAATAGGGCTTTATTCCGGAGGATCGGGCCAGTCTAGACGCTTTTTTCCGGCTTTTCCCCAAGCCGGAAAAAAAGCGGCGGACATCTTTATTTAAATCCCGCGGGGGATATTTAAATCCCCCGGGGATTTCCCTATTCCGAAGCTGAAAATTAGCATGCCCCTTCCGAAAAAGGGGACAGTGTAGATGTAGCCTGGGAGTTAGTCACAACACATTGCTTCATGGGCCTTGGAATCTGTGCTTGCAGTTCCCCTAATTGTGTGTGTTTACCACGTATGACGTTGTAACAGACTAGAGCACCCTACCTCTTTTCCCCCTTCTACAATGAATAGAAAATAAAGCCAAAGGGAGTTGATCCTCCATTTGCCATCTTAAAACTATGCCAAAGATCTATCTCTTTCCTGTTTGAAAGTGATTGTGAGATTTGACTAGAGTATTCCCATGGTGATGACTGCCCTAACAAGCATCTTACTACAAGAAACACTAATCCCAGGAGTACACCTTCGTGGTCATATGTTCATAAGGAGCCTCTGATAATTTTCCACAGACTAACTAGCCTTGTGAAGGAAGTTAGTACATTTGGTTTACATTCTAAACAGTTCTCACACAATGATCCACACCCAGGTCCTCAAAAGGTAGACAGACATTGACATTAGGTACCTAAATATCTTCAAGGATCTAAGCCCTAATGCTCAGCTAGCTGTGATTCCCACATATCTTGTCTCCTATCTTTCTTTGTGTCCTTTAGAGAAGCAACACTGCCTCATACCTGTGTGTTCTTTTGTGCCGCAATGTTTGTTTGGTTGTGTGTCCATTGCCCAACAGGGGGCTGTAAGCTGGCTTGCAAAATGTATTTTGTGTATATATTATTCAAACTGAATTCAGAAAGGAAAATATTTTAAAACAAATTATAAACTGTATTTAATGTTGCTTGTGTTGTAGAATAAAGAAGCAAAATGCAAAAAAAAAGTATCTAAATTTTCTTTTTGGCAGTTATACGATCCTTTCACAGGTCAGTCAACTGAAGCAGCAGAGTAGGGGCACCATGGAATACTTGTTATTTAGATGTTGAGACTGAGACACGTTTGAAAATTTTACCGCGAAACCCATCTTCAAAAGGGACAAAATGTTTACATGCCTAGAAATGCAAACAGACACCTTGTGGAATGTTCAAAAGTAGGACAGGTGCCCAACTCCCATTTAACTCAATGAGAACCCTTGGGCTTTGATGAACATAATTTGTTGGGGAAAAGTCAACATAGTTTCTGTAAAGGGAAATCGTGCCTTATTAAAGTTCTTTGAGGGTGTCAACAAGCACGTGCAAAAGGGATCCAGTGGATATAATGTACTTAGATTTCCAGAAAGCCATTGACAAGATCCCTCATCAAAGGCTCTTAAGTAAAGTTAGTTGTTATGGGATAAGTGGGAAGGTCCTCTTGTGGATTGATAACTGGTTAAAAGACAGGAAACACAGGGTTAGAATAAATAGTCAATTTTCAGAATGGAGAGAGAGGTAACTAGTGGTGTCCCCCAAGAGTCTGTACTGGGACCAATCATATTCAACCTATTTGTAAACGATCTAGAGAAAGGAGTAAGAGTGAGGTAGCAAAATTTGCAGATGATACTAAACTGCTCAAGATAGTTAAAAAAAAGTAGACTATGAAGAGCTTCAAAAGGATCTCACAAAACTAGAGAGATCTTGGTGTCATTGTGGATAGTTTTCTGAAAGCATCCACTCAATATGCAGCGGCAGTCAAAAAAGCAAATAGAATGTTAGGAATCATTATATAAAAGGATAGTGAATAAGACAGAGAATATCTTATTGTCTTTATATAAATCCATAGTACACCCACATCTTGAATACTGCATATAGATATGATTGCCTCATCTCAAAAAAGATATATCGGCACTGGAAAAGATTCAGAAAAGGGCAACAAAAATTATTAGGGGTTTGGAACAGGAGCCATATAGATATATCGGCACTGGAAAAGATTCAG